AAGACAGCGCCGCAGCCGACCAGCGGCGACCAGCGGCAACCACAGGCGACCACTGGGGACAACGCAACCGCCAGACCTTCTAAGAGAGCGAGATCTACTGCAATTCACAATACCTAGGGCTTCAACACCCTATAAAATAATAGGTTCTATTTGAGGAAATCGTTTCCTTGGCTGGTTCTTCACAAGAACCCGGTTCTTCCTGAAAAAAGCAGGTTCTCCAATAAAGGACCATTTGGCTGCGTCTCAGGCGGAGATCGCGCAGCTGCGCATGGATCAAATATACTGGAGCTGCATGAGAATTAAATTTGTGGAGATAAAAGAAAACATGTTGCATAGTCTTGCTGATATGATTCATATATATGTCCATAAGTTTTGAGGTCATCGTATCCCGATTGTATATACACAAATTAGCAATACCCCACCCATGTGACCTGGGCCCGGCTGAACCACGCCCATGGCCCTTTTCTCTGGATCGAGTTTTGTCAAGCGGTTGGAAGGCGGGCTCCTGCACAGAGTGCTTCAGTGCCACTTTGTCAATGTTAACGAGCTCTTATATATGCCATGCTGTTCTGCAGCATCTGCGCTTAAGGGAACTGTTGAACTCAACTTCAACCAGCCATGTCTGATGTGTCCGATGCTGAAAATGGGGTCAAAGCCGCCATGAATCTTGATGGCTTGGCTGATGAGTGGGAAAAGGAAGTTGACCTTAGAACATTTCTCCGGGATGCTAATGGGAAGGACGATGGCAGTGCGACTCTGTTCACTGACTCTTTCCAAGTGAATGTCAAGAACACGTGCATCCCTCATGTGTTCGCCTTGATGAGACCGTTGACTCTCAGGAGGGCTGTAACACCATGTCAACCTGGGCCTCATGTTGCTCCGCTGAGGGAACAGGTTGGGCTTTTGTACAAAAAGCTCAGCATAGCGGTTGGTGAGGACCAAGTGGTGCTTGACGCGTGGTTCATCAGAAAGCTCTGTGCTTTCATTAAGATGAAGGTAAGGAAATCTGATGTCTCAACAGTTCCTTGTCCTGAAGGTTCTTGTTATTTTTTGGTCGCACGGGAGTTGCACGCATGAATGAAATTGCAAAGAGCAAACATGTTGTTCCATCCATTTGGGCACACTTGAGGTTCCAATGTTCCAGGAACTTTGCATCATCCTCAACCCGATGCTTCAGGACAAGGGGTCTACTGTGGCTTTAAAACATTGAAGCCGTGCTTTTGGGGGGGCACCACTGCCACTGCGCATTTCTTATGGTCAGGACTTGGCGGATGCTGTCAATCAACGTGTTGAAGAAAAACGCCAGTTGTTGAAGGCTCCAAAGGGGTTGTGATTATGCAGGAAAGATGCACAATCTTTCAAGTGTTTCTTGTGTTTCTTCATATTTTGCTCTCAGGGGTCACGCGAGACAATTCCCGATGATGAAGATGCATATGATGATGCACCGGACCAGGAGCCAGGCTCGAAGTCCGATTCTGATGTGGAAATTATTGTGGGTGAGGAGATCCCGGAACAGAAGATCCCATCTGGTCAGGAAATTCCACACGAACCTTCTGATCGGGACATCCCACAGGAACCTTCTGGTCAGGACATTGCACAGGAACATTCTGTTGTCCATCCTCTCCCATCCCCTGACTCCCAGCCACTTGATTTGGGGAATGACTCTTTCGTTCCAGCCCCAAGTTCTGCCCCGTCTCCTGAAGCTTCGAAGCAGCCGGAAGCTGGGCCTGCTGAACCTGCAGCCGTGCCAGGTCCAGGCTTGGAACAAATCAAACGTGAACGGATTCATGTATGTCAGGCATCATTGGGAATACATGCCTTTTCATATTCCTTTTCAAATATATGCTGCTTATATGCCCTAAAGGCCCCGGAGATTCTGAAGAAGAGGGGATACTTGCACTGTTGACCAATGCCAAGCAGCATCTTGCCCAGCCAATGCCCTAGATCGATATATCCTTTGGGTCTGTTTCATGGAAGTGTTGTTAAACCTCAGCTAGATTTTCTGTTTGCGTGTGCTGGGGACCTAAGGCTTCAAGCCAAGAGGCAACGACTGACTTTAGCTTTGGCTGCAATGAAATCGCAAGACTTCAAGCCTTCGCCTCCTGCAAAAATCCTTCGACCTTCTGAGAGCAAAGGAGACTCATGAATTGTGCGTTTAAACAATTGCATTCATTTAGTGTTTTGTGCACGAAGAGTTCTGCGATGTTCTGCGTGATTCTGTCGGCAGGAAACCTGGATCATGTAGAGACC